AACGATCGGTGAGCGCCCCCTACCATTGTATATTCCCAAACGAAAACCGACAGGGCAACGGACTCGTGGCCCGGTGGGTAGAGGCGTGGACTTCTAAACCAACAGGTCGCGAGTTCGAGGCTCGGGTGTTCCACACTTCGGGCTTGGGTATGGCTGGCTGACGACGGCTAGCAAGCCAGAAATGACCATTCCAGTCTCCCTTGTCTTTGTCGGTTATGCTATTCTGCCTATATATCATGCGCCGCTGTGCGGCTGCTGGTTGGGCTCGAGAGAGAGTTCTTAAGGCACAACGGAACGAGTGAGTTCCGTATGAACGATCGGTGAGCGCCCCTACCACTATATATATATCGCGTTCATCATCTCCCAAATAAGACGAAGAGGAAGAGGGGGCTAATTCATGGACCATATTGTATTCGAACTGACGTTTCGGAGACTTCCTCGTTTCCATCATCGGTTTGGCGTACTTGTTGCTCCTGCCGGTCTTGAATTATTCGGTCTTGCCTCATGCCTCGTATTAAAGCCGTGTTCGACGCACGAGCTTTGACCTTCCTGTTTGCCGCTGGCTGGCTTAGACCTCCTCGGTGTTGACCGCTGACAGGCCTGCGTGACCTTTCTTTTCTTTGGGGTCGGTGTAATTTTAGTCAAATCAACGTGCCGGGTGGCCTCTCCCACGTCAGCGTGTAGAATAATAGATCGGTTTTGGTTTTCCTGGTCGTTTTGGTAGGTTTTTTGATTTTATAGGCACAGCCCGGTCTGGGAGTGCAGTGAACACCAATCTATCCATATTTTAGGACGAAATACGAGTGATATGGTTTCGCTTAATCGTCCACATCCACCGCCCGCTGATGAGGGCTGGCAGTTCAGAAGCAGTTCCTTCAGTACGCTCCAATCCGTTTGCAGCACTTTTCAAGTTTGTACAGATAGCCTCTGAAGATTGTCTGTGTGGGTTAAATAGACTAAGCTCGAACACAAAGGCGAGTATATTGTATTCTGTCCAGAGGTCAGGATAACGTGATGTGCATGAGGTACCCCAACATGATCTCAACAATCGCAATTCACATACCTGTTAACCACAGTCGAGTTCGCCGGAGAGGCTGCTGCTGCGGCAGCGGCCTGACCCGAGGGCGAATAGAATTCAGGCTCAGTTGACGGCGTCAGGCATGACAACAGTGACGATGGCGTTGTGCTGCTTTTAAAAGTAAACAGAGTAATGTAAGAAAAGTAGGCAAACAACCGTCCATCAGAAATTAACGAGTGATGCCAGCAAGTGCAGAGGTACGTTGTCTGCCCAACAAAACGAAGTGGGTCTGTGACAACAGCAGAGTGCTGCAATACCCACAAGAAAAATTCTGAATTTAATTCAGTATATATATAAGCGCGGTAGACAGAGTCGACTTAAACCCTATTTACTAACATAAAGGCAATGATAAGCGTATTTTACATAAAAAATTAGATGCATTATGAGAGGCAATGTTGCGTTAATAGATGGCGGTCAAGTAAAATGCTCCCATGTTAACGAATGATCTCTTGTATTAAAAGCAGAATGTGACCCAGACGCTCCTCACACTATGAACAGATTCCACTCCGAGACAGCATCAAGAATACGAACGCGCAGAGGTTTGTCTATGAGAACATCGGTCTAGACTTTGAGTGTGCTGGCAGTCACGCTCATTTGACGCAGTTCAGACATCAGTCGTCTCTGTGTGTCGACGGCGTTGCTGATAGAGATGCAGCCCGAATCTACGGGCCGTGTACACGAGCAAGTTGGTAAGACAGGACCGACAGCTTGCCAATTCCATGTCGATGCGCACAAAGCAGGCTGTTCACCTCGTGAGTTACCTTTTTATTATTTTCTCTACTAGTTTGCGACAAATGTTCCTGAGATTTAGAGGTCAAAGTCTATTTTATGAGGTTTTCTCGGACGGCCTATTTACGAGACCTTTGTTAGCTTGCTTCTAATCAATAGGCGGGAGCTTCGCCTTCACCGAACTTTCGAAGACCTTTTACAGTGGATAGGCAAGTTTTTCCTCAAGTTTAGTCTTTACTCTTACGTATTTGCCACCCCAACTCTCGAATTTTCGGGCTGAAGCCCTCCCAGGGTGCCCCTTACAGCGTCTTTTATCAGCGTCACCGTGGTAATTGTATCCCTCATTTAAGCTGTTTACCGACGGAATTTTTATTTCGATGGCGACTAATCAGTATTAACGGACAAGAGAATTTTCGGTGAGCTTATTTCCCTACTAATCTTTTAGAAAATGACTGTGGTTCAGATAATGTTTGCTCTTTTCGTGTATACAAAGGACTTCTTCGACTTTTTGGCGTTCTTTTGACAATTTCTGACGCAAATATTTTCGAACACTTCTCAGGATTTTCTGACACCCATGTAGTTATCAGGAATATCGATTATGAGAGATGGATGCTCACTGATCAAGTTACGGAACGTGCTCGTTCCGTTATGCATTGGAGCTCGTGCTAGAAGATCGCAGGCCGTCGCACAACGACTAGCAGTAGATGCAGATAAGACGGTACTAATAAAGACAAGGGAACCGAAATGGCTACTTGTGGCTTATAAGCCGCCAACAGTCAGTCTCATCCAACCCCGGCTAACTGACAATCGGGTATCAGATAAAATCTAGGTTTTTGGAATTTTCTGCACTTTGAACGCATTTATTACGTAAATAGCATGTTTCTGACCCCAACAATATTGACATCAGAAGTCTGACGAGTGTGAATAGGTGCTCTACATCGAGAACTCCGTTAATGTGTCGTATGGTTTGTGTTTTTGCAAATATTTAGTTGTTTTGCAAGCAAAACCGACCTGTCAAGACAAACTGCGTGGGATTTTGAGCTGTGCCTATGACATCCGACTGGGTGTGGATCCGATGACCTGATGGTGGAGTGATTAAATTGGGATTTACTCTGAAGAAGTAATTGAGGATCGACATTACCTCCCAGAAAACGCAGATGAGACTTGCTTGGCAACCAGTTTATTGTGGAACAAACAAGCTCTGCATATACCTCGCTCTGACAAGAGAGAGTCGAGGCAAATGTAGATGTTGGTGGCCTTAACTGCTGATGAGTCGAAAAATCATGTTCGAATTCACTGAGGCCTACACGATGCTACAATTTGCCTGTGTACGTTTTCATCAAATAGCGACTCTTCGGTATATACAGACATGAAGATATAGGGAAAAAGATTGATTCTAACGCACTTATCGATTATCATAATATCCCGATAATCCTTTAGAAAACGCATAGTGTTCCGATCATGTTAAACTCATCTATGTGTGTGGAGAACGTTTTCGGACTTTTTCGGTATTCAGTTGATTGTTTCTGACTCAAATGTTGCTCTTTTTCTCCTCAGGAGATTTTGAAATCTATTTCGCTGTTTGATAAACTCAGAGAAATACTCAGTCAGTTGACTTCCGGCTAATTTCTTCCACAGTTTTTCGTCACTTAAGAGGTTCCTTTTTATTTCTGGTATTGATTGCTCGTTTCTGGAAACGCACGATATCCTTTTAAGTCAGCGTCGGTACTCTCCTAAGTACCGAATTCGATCCTTAAATAAGCACCTTTCGACGTTCTCCTCGGGCATAGATGCAGGGTGCTGGTCTGCCTCAGTTAGTCACTTTCTTCCCTTTGGAATAATCCCCTGCACCTACATTTTCCTCCTTTACTGTAGGAATTTCGGATACAGAAATATGGCTATGCTCCCCAACTGGAATACAACTATCATTTCAGGCCTAGGACGTGTGAGGTCTGATTCCAAGGGTACAGTTGTCTAAGAAGCTTGATTGCTGTCCATTTCGGAGTCAAATGTGCATAATAATGTGTTCAGTAAATCATTCTTGCCGGAATTTCTGTTTGAATAAGATTTTCGATCCCAATCGATGTCTGGAGACTCAAAATCGTCCAGTGGATTGTCCGTCAACTAGGACGGATTTGTTTTACCACAGTGATAAGGGCATATGCAGTAGCCCTAGCCCCGATCGTCTTTCACAACGCTGGGCCTGTCGGGAGTGCCAGCATGTCTGCGATACGTCGTTCTTGTCCTTTCCTTGTCCTGGGGTCTACATACCAGAACATTATGCAGATACGGTTGGTTTGGCACTCTCAGTCTACAACTAATGATTTCACCGTTAGTGCTCGATTTTTGTGAGAATGCCTCAGTGAGATAGTCAATGCCACCCGGTCTCTCCAAGCCCTAAGTTCATTTCGATCCATAAAGACAGAAGAACTCCGTCCAGCCTGGCTTTGGCGTCTAATATACGCTCACTTAACCATGATTTTGCGATGAATACAGGGTCCACCAGACGACTCCCATACTCACATGATTAACAGGCGTTCCAGCAGATTTCGCATTATGTATTTTAACCGCACTGCGAAGAAATCGGCAACCTTGACGGGATTAAAAGCTTACGATAACAAGGGGTAGACTTGATTGCCGTCAATGGTGTAACGATTTGAGAGAAGAGACCCCACCCACAGCTGTTAGCTTAATCACATTTGGGTCATATTACACGTTGGGCCTACTGAAATACATGAAATCCACCAAATCTGATAGAGTAACCTAACTGTCCATGCAGGATTTCCCATGCAAGCAATCTAGACCCACCAGATGCGTACAAGCCGCATGTGAATATAAAGGTTGACTTTACTTGGACCTTGTGCTTGCTGTAGGGGATTTACATCCCACCAAATCTACCGAGTTTTTCAAAATCTCCCAATACACCTATAAATGTAAATTCGGCTAAGGTGAAATATGTGGGAGCGTGTGGAAAAGTGTATGACAATGCAGCAATTACACAACGTCGCCTAGTTGGAGAATATGATGATTTCCAAATGCTCAGATCTCCTAGCCTGGGGGAAGCATCCATGTAAAAACGCTCAGACAATAAGTAAGTATATATTAGTATTTTTCTGATCAGGTATCACAAAAGATATGGGTTTTTGGAATTCCCCCACTTTGAACATATTTACTGCCTAAATATTATGATTCTGGCCTCCAATTTTTGTTGTAGGGGTGTACAAAAGGCTGGCGATTGTGGTTGGGTGTACGACATCGATAACTTCCCATAAATGCGGCGTCTATTTCGTCTTTGCAAATTTAGTTATCTCAGCTTACTCGCTTTGTTCCAGTAGTTGTAGTAATTGCAAGAAACTTATGCGTCAGTTTGCGCATCGAAAAAGGCGGTATCCTGATTTAATTATGCGTTTTGAATTACGTGAATACACTTAGGACAGGTTATTTAACCAGGCTTTCGGAAAGTCCAATTTCCATTATGCCAGTCTAAGTCTTTGTTATTGCGTCAGTTAATCATTTAAAACCTGAAGAGGTCTGCTACATACGCGGCCGTAGGGGGAGGTGCTATCAGATGTTTTCATAGAGCATTTGTGTCAGACGCCGTATCTAACTGGCCTACTGATTTTGCACTCGGTAAAATGCAATCGGGATAAAATTCGTCAGGTTATAACTCGTCTACCGGCCCCGTTTGCAGGAATCCTAGGAACAGCTCTGAAAGGCAAAACTGAATTCTTCCTAAGTTGTCTTGCATACAGAGCCGACCAGTCAAAATAAAATCTACGGGACTTTAAGCGCTGTGTGTGACAAACGACCGGGTGTGGATCCGATGACCTAATACCGAAGTGATTAACTTGAAGTTTCCTTTAAGTAAGTAAATGAGAATCGGCATTACTTGACAGAACACACAGATGTGACTTGCCTGACAACCAGGTTATTATGAGGCGAACTTGCTCCGCATATACCTTTCTCTGAGAAGACAGAGTCGACGAAAATTAAAATGGGTGTGGCATCAGATGCTGATGAAGCCGACATCTCATGGTCTCACGCCTGGAATTCACTGGGGCCTACACGAGCATGTAACGGTCTTCATGAAACTCCGTTTTCAATTAGCAAAGTACCATTAACGTTACTGCCACTCGATCTTCATTCGCAAGACTGCAGACTATGCTCTAATCTGCAGACATCCCTCCTTAACATATGCCAGCACAAATGGAAATCAGATCGATTGGTGCTGAGACCGACCGCAGTTGGCGGTGTGAAATAACACCAAATACCCGGTAACCAAATGACACAGAGTAATATTGCAGATCTGTTCGACTAGGAGTTGAAATGTAATATGTTGCTGGCAAATGACATTTAATGCTATTCCACGTTTTCATCGGTAGGATGCATAATGATTTCGATGCTCGGTCTGAAATATAAATACACGCTGGGTCCGCTTGGCATTCATCGGTCGGGGAGATCTCTTTGGTCGTGTTACGAAACTCACTCCTCCCGTTGTGCCTTGGCGTCCCCTATGGAGGACAACCAGCAACTGCACAGTAGCACGGCCGTTCGAAGGAGAGCAGACGTGCTGTGCCGTGCAATATTAACTGAAATTTTGGAATATACTTTGATCCGTAAAGATTACTTGAATAGGTTTGCAATATTAATTGTCGTACAGAATAATCTGAAGATATTTCGGTCATAACAGGATGCCGGCTTTTAAATGAGCCTCTTTTCGGCCGTCTGCTAGAACTGTACTCTGCATAAACAAATACTTATGTAGAGTAAAAATTTTCCAATTTATTTTACACGCCCTTATAAACTAAACTATATATTAAAGAAAAAGGGTGCATGGAAATATAAAGTAACGGTAGGTTGTTGAACCCCACCTCTTAACCAGTGACCCCGTAGAATAAAAACTTTCTCATTGATTTTCGATGCGCTTATAAAATAGACTATATTTTACAGAAAAATATGCACGAAAATATTAAATAACGGTAAGTTGTGCAACCCCACCTCTCAAGCAGTGACCCCAGCCAGTGTGACACGGTAATGGCTGTATTAGTTGTTTAACGAGTAGGGCATCTCCGCGAAGGGAGAACGAAATGTATGCGATAAAACGTTTAACTTCTTTTTTGAGCGCGACAGTTGAAAACTAAATAAAAGGGCGAATTCAGTTGGAAAAGCCACGAGAATAAACCGCCACATGCAAAAATGAAGCATTTTAGGTTCCAAAAGCACAAAAAACCGACAGCAAAGAAGAACAGTAAGTGCCAAATAGCGCACCTGAGAGAGAGAGAGAGTACATGTGCTATCCCACGCAATGTCAATCTAAACTCTGAAGTAGACTTTTGATTCGAAAGTATTACTTATGCAGGTATGTAATATTAATTTCGTGCGGCAAAATCTTCAGATAATTCAGTCGCAGCAGGACACCGGTTGTTGAATGAGCCTCTTGTTTGACCTTCTACAAAACCCACGTCCTGTAAAAAAATGACTAATTATGTAACATGAAATATTCCAATTGATGTTCAATGCACTAGTAAATTCACCTTCATTTTGTACAAAATTTCATAAAATATTCCTTCTCTTACTCTTTTGTTGGCAGATTACATTTTTTAAGATTTTGTATTCAAACAAAGGATAACTTTCAGTTTTCAAGAATTTTTTAATTTTAGTAATTTTAAGTCCGCTGGAACAAGGGCTTTATTCACCGGATTCTCACTTAAGCGCATTTTCAGAAACAGTGGCTGAACGGGCGATTCGTAAATAGGATTCCTTGATGTTCTCGTGAGTCGCAAAGAATATGGTGGCCTGAGAACCAAAGTGTTCAGGAAGCAACAAACACTAAGCAAATACTGAACTTCAACTGCGACCACCCAATCATAGTGACTGTATCCTATAAAAACTGCAACATCCTGTGTACGAATCATCCGTCTCTGCCATTGTCTATGATGATGGGTTCAAGTGAGAATCCGTAACGTCAGGAAAATCAGGCCCTTGCTCCAGCGATCGCTTGTTCTTCTTCTTCTTCTCATTTTTCTTCCTCTTCTTCTTTTTCCTATCAAATACTTCCTGGAATTCGCATCTTCGCTTGTATCGGCAATTTTAATTCTGTGATATATTCATTCAGGCAGCAGTTCATAAGCACGCTCAGTAATGCTGCTTATGCCCTATGCAAAGTCATCCACATACATTGTACAATTTTAGAGCGCAAGATGACATCATCCAAATAAAAAGGGGAAACGTGTGATATTTGTAGCGACACATGTACAGCATAGAATCAGTAGGTTGGGCACAAAATTACCCGAGAATTCAGGAAGCCTTGAACAATGATCAAACGAAGCCTTCTGCCGTTTAACATAAACGCGTACGTCGGAACCAGTTCTCCTAACCACATGATCTACCGTCTGACTGGCAAACAGTTGCAAGAACTCGACTCCCAGAAAGACTTGGGTATGTGAATCGTAACCTCGCTCAAGCTTTCGGTGCGCTGCTCAAAGTTAGCCAAGTCTGCGATGTCCATCCTATACCTCGTCAGAAGGGCGTTATCTTTCTTTAATGAAGACTGCTTCGCCAAGGCCTATCGAACTTTTGTGAGGCCGCATCTGGAGTTGACTATCCAGGCATGGAGACCCTGGACCGCAAAAGATCTCAGTATACTCAAAAAAGTTCAACAGTGTGCAAACCTTGAAGCTGGACAGTGACCACTACTCTGCGAAACCCAATTAGCTAATCTTGATATCTCTCCTTTTAGTTACAGGCAGCTAAGTGGTGACCTGGTACAAACTTTCCGCATCCTGCGCGGTCAGGGCTGCTGCCTCGTATGAGGAGACTTTTTCGAGTTTGCGACTACGACTAACCTCAGAGACCATTCACTCACAGCACATATGATTGGTGCCTGGCTAGATACACGAAAGTTCGTCTTCTCCAACAGAGTGTTTGCAGCTTAGAATGTTCCGCCTGACAATGTTGTTATGCCGCAGTCCGTAAAAACTTTTAAACGGAGACTAGATCTACGTTGTAGTGCGCCCACAATGCTGTCCGACAGCAGCCGTCTCGTCAGCCCACGGTAGCAATTTACTGATATCATGACGCTTCTGCCAATACTTAAGTAACATCTATTTATATTATTCACTAATTTTTGAATCATTGCGTACACCCCTGCTGACAATCGCCAAGATGCTTTCAGACTAAAATTATTATTATTTTTGCTGTAGCTTCAAATATCTGCTGAGTTTCAATGGACAAACCCTGTTCATATTCCTTCAAATACGGTTGACGCATAACATACTATGCAGTTTTTGATATTACCGTTTTATTTCTTCTATGTTACACCCTTTCCACTTTTTCCATATACTTTCTCTGCATGTAACCAACAAGGATTTCGAAGGTACACACCTAGTTTTCCCCAAATAAACTGAAACTGAAACCGCAAGCTACGACTGCTTCAAATAGAAGTCGAATCACGTGCTTTGCTACCAAATGAGCACATAGAAAATACTTTCCACATGTTCACTGCAAAGTATAACCTAATTAATTGAGGCATCAAAAATAAAGGCAGTTATATAGACGACCAAAAAGCGGCCTATTCTAGAACCGGCATTCTGTTGCGACTGACGTATCCTGTGATAAGACTTCACGATTGTCAGTCCTACAAACCTATTGAAGTAAACTTTTCCAACGGAACACATATTTCTCAGTGTTGGCTTACATTTTATGAGGTATTACATCGACTATATGTCTGCGCTCTTACATTGGGGAATTACGCTAGGGCAAAAAACAGCTTTCGAAGAGTATCAGTATGACAAATGGCACCTACGGAGTATTCGACGAGCGTCTGTTTTCAGCTTTTGGTTGCCAAGTTTCTGGAAAACTGACAGAGTCGCAGGTAACTAGGTGAAAGTCCCGGAGTTGTAGATGAATCTGCATTGTAAAAGATATGACATCAGTAGACTTGTTGGACAAGATATGTGCCACTGCCTGTCATTTATATCTATCCGCCGTACATTAGTTTGTTTTACCTTGGTGCACCAGCTCCGACAAACGACTCCATGCAGTAGACAAAGGAACTGAGTCGAAAAAACCGGAACACAGCTCCGAACGAGAATGGCCGAACACGCTGCAGCCGTGCGGAGAAATGACGCCAGCTCTCAAGTTGCGGCCCATTCGGCGAGATCCGTCCACACAATCGAATCCAACGAGGCCGGAATTCTCGCTAGAGCCTCGAGCTGCTTGAGTCGTGGTTCACTGGCCCGCAGTCCATTATCAAGTGCAACGGCATTTCCATTCCACGCCAGGTGCTGAGACTTCGCCTGGCGGAGTAATTCGCTACGCGGGCAGCGCACAGGTGAACAATATTACCAACGCCAGGATCGGTGTGTCAGATGGCCGAGCAATCATCACACCAACATCCAACGCACGTGATGAGATTTCAGCAATTAGGTACGCGAATATCGGCCAGCAAACAGTCATCACACCAAGTGCAACGATCCCGGATGAGGGGGGGGGGAGCCATGCATATTCATAGGAATGCGGTAGCATGGCAACTGCATTCTATAAATACTGCAGCCCCTTGTGCATGAACCACCCGTATCTAATTTTGTCTCTGATGATGAGTTCGAGCAGGAATCCGAAACGTTAGGCGAATAAAGCTCTTGTCCCAGCGATCATGTCTCCTTCTTCAAGACTGCTTCCTGGGACTCGTCTCTTCGCGAAAACATACTAAGCGTTTATGAACTGGTACTTATACTAAACACGCACGTTTAACTGACTTTAAAATTATTCGACAGTAGTGATGTCATATTTATTAATGTGGTAGTTTTTGTTCAAGGTAGATTTTTATCCGGCAAATTGAATGGTGCACCATCTAGAACGTTTTTAAAGCTCAAGTTTCACTTAGACTAAAAGTATAGGTGAAAAGATTAATTGACATTCTCATCTAACTTACAGATTTTTATTACAAGAACCTGTCGTGGATCGGGATTTCTAATATGACGATGTTCATTGAAGGAGCATTATGCTTTCTGCAGTCAGAGCCAAACCAATATCGTAAATAGGTAGTTAAAAATGCGTAAAGTGTGGCGCCTCCCTATGCGCGTTTTTTTACGGGGATGGTGTTATAGGGGGATGCAGCGTACACGGCCTCGTCGTAGCCCCGTCTGTGGACTCTCCCAACCGGGGTGTGGTCACCTCGAGCCCCGGTTGATTGACGGGGCAGAGGGAGGTGCTGGTACTAGGAGGGCAGAATGAATAAATAAATATTCCCTGGCATATAAATGTTTGTAGCGGGCAGCCATCGTGACCGGTCTGGCGTCATTGTTCAAGACCTCGCTGCCTCAAGGTCATTCACCCTTTTGCATTGGGCCGTTCCAGACCCGCTGACCTGAAGTCACACGACCAACAGCTCGGGCATACCTACGTCCACTTAGCCGCAGCTGCCCATGCGGCCACTTGGCGCACCTCCCCCACCTGCAACCGCAACCTAAGCCACTGGGACAACACCCCTCGGCAAATGCAACGTGCACTGACTGGACATCACTTGAGCTTGGTTCACAACTCTACAAAAGCGGCTGCCACCACTATCTCAGGGATTCTCAGGCTTGACTGTACGCAGTCAACACCGGCCCTATCTTCGCCAGTGGCCACTGCCGCCTGGTAGGATAACTCCGGGTTCTGTGCACAATAAACTCCTCATTCTTTTGCCTTCCGTCTTCTCCTTCCAACACGGGATTTGACTTGATAATTGTAGCTCACAAACTACATGCATTATCACTGGTTTGCCGCTACAGGTTCTTCATGGATTTGAATAAGAAAAACCGCCAGATCTAGGCACCAACCACTTTCTATATAATTTTGTTGAAATAACGTCACCAGCCTAATGAAAGGCTGTCTCTAAATACTGCTGGACAAATTTATAAGTTTGCGCGAAACAGTAGGTATACCTACGTATGTGCCTTACCGTTTAAAACGCCCTCTTCAAATTTCAATGCTTAAAAACATTAAAATACAGGTCTACTGACAGTTAACTCACCGTTTCAAATCTGCGAGACACACTAGCGTTGCCAATTCCGTTTGCATTGCAGAAGTCTATCGGTATCCGAATCATGTTTAGTTCACGTAACAGTGCTATGGCAGACACCTTAAATTCATTCAGACGGGCGGAGTTCTAAAAAGAGAGAAAATAAGGATAACATTTGATCTGCATTTGATCTCGCACGACAATCTCCTTCCGAGTCAAAAAATGGGCCAAGTCCAGAACAGGAAAAAGGCGTATTCTAAACAAATGTTGATTTTAGCTTGGAAACTGTTTAGTGCTTATGGGATAACTGACAACATATACTTTCAATATTTTTTCATGCAATTACTTGGTATCGTGGTGCCTACCAACCTGCATCAAGACTCGATGCATTTATTAGAAGCAGAGAAGCACAGTAACAACTAACTTGTCATCTTTAGGTAAGTGCCCATTGCATGTTATATGTTGGCAAACTGCACCAGGGTTTCCTTTCATGCATTGGCACATAAACCCTGATTGAAACAAAGTAGGCGTTTGTCTTTGGACTGTACTGAACCATACACGGAGATGACAAGCACTTAAGTTGGTAAAAATATGCGCAAATTGCGAGTTTGGTGCTTGTGTGTGTACAAACATTTGTCTGGTTGCTGCTGTCGAAAAGGTTACCCAATAGCATATACAGTGACAGATAACGGAAACTGTTGAGAGGATTTTTAGACGCCTCTAACGTAGCGCATTTTGTTCGCACACCCACATCCTCCAATGAGATGTCCTTTGGTACGGTGTGCCAGGCTTCGAGCGTTTCCCTGGCTGTCTGGTCGGTACCTCGGCCTAGGATTTCGGCGTTATGGAAGGCGAAAGTGTGCCCAGAGGCAGCACAATGTTCCGCCACCAGTAAGAGTTGGTCCATCCTTCTCACTCCCCTTGCGTGCTCACTCATGTGGGTTTGTAGCCGTTTTCCGGTCTCTCCAACGTAGTTCGCCTCAAAGGAACTGCACTGGACACGGTAGACGACATTCGCTGTTTGTCCTCGTGACAGAGGGGCCTTGGGTCTCATGACGAGATGTTTTATTGTCGCTTCAGGTCTCTGCGCGATGCCGATCCCCAGTAGTTGTAACAAACAAGCGACTGCTTCGGAAACATTCTTGATATACAGTAGTGCCCGCCGCACTTTTGGTTCTTCTCTCGTTGGCCTTAAAGCCTTCTTTGGTTGCCTGCTACTTTCGATAAAACTGCGAGGGTAATCGTTGGAGATGAACATCCACCGAAGATAATGAAGTTCGGCTATTTTGTCGGCTGCCTCGCTGCAATGAGTTTCCGCCCTCTTGAATAGAGTCCGCACACAGCTACGTTTATGGCACAACGGGTGGTTACTGTAGTAGCCTAGGGCCTTACCTGTGTTGGTTGCCTTTCAGTATACCTTCGTTCATAGGCTCATATTGGTTTTGCGGTGGACCAGGACGTCTATAAACGCTAGTCGGTTGTTGAATTCTGCCTCCCTTGTGAACTGGATGTCCGGAAAAACAGAGTTTATATATATAATACACAAGCAGCTCGCTAAGGGTGTAACAGGCCACACTCAGACAGCTGTTTTGCGGTCGTTAACGATCATCAGTATGTCAAAGGCCTTATGTAGTGAGGCATATAAGCATGTCAAGTGGGCGTTTGACTCTCACTGTTGTGGTTAGGATCTCACTCGATCCCATTCTGTCCGCCCGCCACCTAGCTACTGGCGACAACGGACGCTGTGTCAGAGGACACATACCACATATAATACATGGGCAGCTCGCTAATAGTGCAAGAGGTCAGACGCATACAGCTGTTTCACGGTCGTAACCGATCATCAGTACGTCATATAAGCATGTAAATTGGGCGTTTACATCATTTCATATGGCCTATGACGTACTGATGATCGGTAACGACCGTGAAACAGCCATTTGCGTCTGGCCTCTTGCACTCTTAGCGAGCTGCCCATGCATGAAATGTCCTTTGTGTTAACTTAATTATCTCAAGAAAAACATCATTAAATTTTGGCGGAAATAGACATTGGAATATATTCGTGCAATTTCCTATGCTAATACATGTCCTAGACTTCAGTTACGCACCTGAGCGACTTTTCCATTGAAAAGGATAGTCATTAACTCTGTAGAGTTTTAATAAACAGGTTTAGCCAGACTTGATTTGTTTTTTCCCTCCGATGGTAACCATGGTTATCAACCTGCTAACTTTTAAACTTGTACTCAATTAACATAGACATTTGACTCATGAAATGATGTGGGTTTGCGAGTGATTGGCAATCATTCGTAAATTTCGACACATTTCATGAGTTATTTCACTAACTGTATATGCCTAAATTGACAGCTATACACCTCAAGTTTTTCCGTGGATCTCTAAAAAGCAACGACAATCCCGATATAGGCTCTGCACATTTGAATGCCTGACTGATTTCACAACGTCATTTGCAACTGCGTCAACCCGCTAATGATCGGAAAGCTTGTCTGCGTCATGTTTGCTAGGAGTATCATCAGGGGCCAATCAACGAATCTCACAGACCCTACAAAAGAAGACTAAAATAGCAACTTTGTTTGCTTCCAAGCCTGTTTTAAATGAATTAGCTCATAAACTGGTCAAGTATCTCGCTCTCTTTATCATGCAATGGGGAGTCCAGGTGACTGTAAATCAGGTGTTACTCAATCAAAAGAATAGTAAATGAATCCAGCTTCTTTACAATGGCGACATATGTTTGGCCAATACCCCACACGGCAGTCCGACCGTCGTGACCGATGAGGTAGGCCACGAGCGCAGAGGCGAATTGTACTGGACCTGGTTTATAACTAGACGGACTTTGCACAGCGTCCGGCTCAATCTGTACTCTTTTGCTCACTTTATTTTGATGGCGAGAGACGCCCAAGTTGAGAGAAGGTGACTATAAGATTTCATATTACCTGGTTTTATTGGGTACGCATAGTTGAAACTGAGTGGTGTCGATTGCATCTGGACACTCAGACGTTAGAGTACAGAGCTATTTTGTCAGCTGTACATCTTCCAAGGCACAACTATTGGCGCCTCGTGGTGCATTTAAATGGGGAAGATTTATTTTATTGGAGAATGCGGTGATTTGCTCGATCATATGGTTTCCTTGCTGTCCGCCTAACCGTCTCTTCTCTCTTCCATATGCTAGCCGACTGTCCGAGCCCGTCAGCTACTTCACGCTCGGATTGGACATGGCAACTGGCAGGGCTGGTCAGTTCTTCTGCGCGCGAGTAGGGTGGTGTGTGGTTTTGACGCGTGAACTGCTATGGTTTACTGAAGACTGGCAGACAGGCGATAATGGTCGGATGGGTATATGTGATGGTCACCGCGTAAGCTTCATGTATGGCTACATTGTCCGTGACGCACGCTATTCCCTCCCCATGAAGTTGTCTTTCCATTTTGTGTCAATCGCTTTAGACAGCTGAATTCAGCATACTTTTCTAAAGTGTATCACTATTCACTGCCTCGAAGGTTTTCATCATATTTGTGAAGCAGGCATGGAGGCTTATTCCCAGTCCCTGAAGATGGGTAGACGAATAAACTACCCGAAACGTCGGATCTCAAATAAACCCCTCCCGGTAAACGCCCCCTCTTCTTTTGTTATTCGAATTTCCTGCCATCTCTCCTTTATTTGGCAGTTCGGGAATGTGGTTCTATGGTGTTTTGGGAATCCAATTTGATGTGTATTACCGAGGCTGTATGCGTAATGCACCCGGAAGGGGAGTACTGTTTTTAGGTCCTTCTCACCGACCATACAGATGTACATATAAGCTAACAAACTATCTCAAATTGGTGGATTGGAATGTCGTCATTTGAACGGGAAATGCAGGCAGCCATAACGTTTTTGTCAGCCGTTTACGTAGAAAATTCTACTAACCTCCTACCACAGTAAAATATGCTCCGTTTCGGATGACAGACCACAGCTTAGCCGCTGCCCACACGATAACTGAATGCGCCATGTACCGATTTCTGCCATTATGAGGGCAGACATTTTATGTAAGAGTAAGTTTGATTTTTTCCAGATTCCTCCGGCTATAATTTAATTCTCGCCCTGACTAGCACGAATCGTTCGACTGGACAACGAAATCGATGGCAATGTCCAAGACGTATTAGAACTTACATTGCTCCACCGTAAGCCCCTTGCCTTCCGAATTAGGGCGGATTTCCTTTCTTTCATATCCGTACAGTCCTGTCTCAGTTTCACCAACAGTGTCTGCTCCTGGGCAGAAGCCAAGTTGAAGTGACCTTCTGCCGTTTCGAAGGCGTGGACAGCGAGACAGTACAGCTGATCAGTCGCGGAGGTTATCTCTCTGATAAGCCTCTTTTTGCAAGGGTTCTGACCGCAATTCGGTTTCACAAGGCTGGTTTTCAGAGCAATAAGCTCGGTCTGTTTTGAGCGTAAAGTCGCAAGTTTCCTCTCCAACTGAGCGACCACCTAAATAGACAAACACTTTCGGGCATAGAGAAAGCTTAGAAGACAACAGAGTAATGAACTGCGATGGCGATAGAGGTGTTTGACATAAGGGTTGATTTAATGGGTGAACGAAAATCCTACCCCGGGTCTATGATAACAATTTTATACAAGACGGTATGATCTGCTCCTCGAATTGTTAAAAGAGTCGGTTGAGGGGAAAATAAATTCCTTGAAAATACCACACACAGTGGCTGAAACATTAAAATACTGCTTTTTGAACTTTCGACTGGTATGTATGCTGAAAGTGCGGCTAAGTGCCAGTCAAATGCATGTATATATATAGACAGAAAGAGATTACCGATAAAGACAAGTGAGACTGGGATATCAGTCTCTGGCCTATTAGCAATCATCAGCCAACCGCACTCAATCCCTGATGTTCGAATCTTTGTTCTGTTGACTAGACCTCGAACTACCTTGCCATTGAGTCACCGGCTGGATGTCCAGTCGGTCGCGATCGGACATATACATAGTGGTAGAGAGACGCTCGCCGACCCTTCTTGCGGAACTCGCTCCTCCCGTTGTGCATTAGGGCTCTCTCTCTCGAGCTTAACCAGCAGCCGCACACCTGCGCATGATATAGGCAGAATGGTATTACGGGCAGTCTCCCCTGTCTTTGTCGGTAATACCATTCTGTATATTTATATGTATATGTATGTAAGGCAGTCACAGGTACCATGGATTTTTTGACCTGACTTTTGGAAGGCAGACAAACTTCCATCACCGGAGGTGAGTTGCGTGCGCACGTCACAGTATTTAAGGGTTTCCCTCGTGCGGGCGTGTCACTGATTTCCACCGCGCTATATCACAAGGTTTGGCAGTTTTCGTCATGCGGCATGGGTTCCTCATCATCCTTTGTAGGGTTTGGGGAGGAGGGCGATGTTAGGGTGACCGCGATTATTGCCCTTGTTGACATTGTCCGTTGTCCGCCCTTCACGTATCTCGCCTTCCTGCCCCGTTCACACCTGCCCGTAGCCGTGTGGACGGGGATTGTCATGCCAGTGTTGACGTCTGTTCTGACGCCTCGTCGGTAGATCTGTTTATTGAACTTCACCCGGAGGGCTTGGTGGGCAGCCGGCAAAGTTACGCAGCGGTTGATCGAGGTAGTTGTGGTGTACCGTGCTTCGAGTGTCTCCTTTACCGTTTGATCGTTCCCTTGGCCCAAGACTTCGGCGTCTTGGAAAAAAAGGCATGGTCACAAGCTGCGCAATGTTCCGCCAACAGCGAGGTCTGATCCATTCTTCGTACCGCTCTTGTGTGCTCCTTCGTGCAGGTCTGCAATCCTTTCCCGGTCTCTCCGAAGTAGTTTACTTCGCAGGAACTACACGGGATCTGATAGACGACGTTTTCTGTTTCCTCTCGTGGTAGAGCCGTTTTTGGTCTCATGACCAGACGTCTACTTTCCGCTTCAGGTTTGTGGGTGATGCATCGAAAACTTTTGCAATATAGGGCAGCGCTCGCCAGACGTTCGGCTGATTTGCCGTTGACTTTATGGTTGAACTGGACAGTTTGTTGCGTTCTACAACGCTGCGCGGGTAACAGTTGGAGTTGGGCATCCGCCATAGATAGTGGCGTTCGGCTACCTTGTCGGCCGGTTCGCCGCAGTGATTGTCAACCATCTTGTAGAGAGATCGAACACAGCTTCGTTTGTGACACTGTAGGTGATTGCTGTGGTAGGACAGGACCTGCCGAGTGTTAGTGGCCTTCCTGTAGACCGTCGTTTTCAGGCTAACACTGGCCTTGCGATGAATCAGAACGTCGAGGAACGCGTTCTGATTATTGTTCTCTGTCTCCATGGTGAATTGAATATCGGGGAGAACAGAGTTTAGTAGCGCGTGGAATTTCGTGAACACTTCCCATTTGAGAGCGACGAAAGTGTCGTCCACATACAGCTCCCAAAATTTAGGCTTGTATGTTGCAAACACCAACGCCACTAACCTTCGAAGAACAGATTCAGCAAAGATGCCCGATAGCAGTGAGCCCATCGGCGAACCTTTGATTTACTCGTACACAGTCCCTTTAAAGGTAAATAACGTTTAGATGCAGTATTTCCGCAGCTGCACTAGGTGTTCTCGCTTAGGGGTATTGTTTGCCTCCGTGTATTGGCTGTCGAGGAGGTCGCTGACAGTTTCAGCTGCCAAATCATTTGGGATCGAGGTGAGAAGTGAGGTTACGTCGAACGACACCATGACTTCATCTGTGTCAATTTTCAGCCCTTTCAGTCTTTCCAGGAAATGGATGGATGAGCGGACCGTCGTATTGGAGCCCGAGGTGAGGTTGTTCAGACATCGAAACATCCATTTGGCCAGGTTTAATGTGGGTGTCCCGCGCAAGGACACAATTGGACGGAGTGTGGCAGCATATTTGTGTATTTTGGGTAACCCGTAGTTCTGCCCTAGTCATCGCGCTATTGTTTTGTAGCATTGTGAGCGTTGTGTTTATTCGCGTCACCTGCATCTTCATGGGGTCACCCTTACATTTGACGTCCGCTTGCCTGTCCTCAGGCAAGGCATTGGCTTTCCCGACGTACTCGGTCTTGTCAAGTATAACTGTGAATCGCCCCTTGTCTGCAGGTAGGATCACGATTCGCTTGTCCGCCTTCAGCGCCTTGAAGGCCTCCTACTACGTTCTCGAGGTGACCAATCGTGGTTTGTGGGTCATATATATATATGCATGAATTCTTACACTACAATACGGGGATTCCACGAAATTAAGATGAAAAAAATATTTTTTCAGAAAATACATACATTTTTCTAGTATGAATTTTCGAGGCCGATCCCCCAGCTCGTTCTCGTACTATTGGTGGTGTTCAAAAACGATTAACTAGCTAAATATGCTTAAAAATACTTTTACTGTTGTTCGACATATGCTTCTATGCGTGTCACGTGTGTTGCATCGTCCCTTATTGATTAGCCGTGTCCATTTGAATTTGTCCTTAGAAACTTATTATGAGGCATCTAAAGCGATGTACCGATACATGCGTGCCTCATCTGGGAGCATTGCTTTCAGGAATTCGCTGCCTCTTTCTGTCGCACGTCGATAAACTAATAGGTGGCTTCACAAATCAATGTATCGTAACGGCGAATATTCGGTGGCCATCCTACATTTTGGGAATAGTCCCCGTGTCTATAAAAAAAGTCAGACTTCTGTGAAGATGAAGAAGAAGAAGAGGAATCGAGCATCGAAACACTTTCTTATTGTCCTGAGCTTTCGGACTCATGCAGGAGTCCATCGTCAGAGATAGTAGCAGGCACAGAACAAGCGACAGTTACATGGCATGTAGGCCAATCATCGACCGACGGCGCAAGACTGAAGCTGACTGTGCAGGGTTCTGTACGCCGGCGCCAGATCGATAAATCGTTTGAGTGAGTTCTCATCCGATGCCCAAGCTTGAACTAGGTCTTTTTTGTTCTCGACGTGGGCGACTATTTTGGTGGCTGCGAAGTTAAACTCGTGACCCATTTGGTAGGTGTGTGCGTTCACTTTTGATAATGCGTCGCCCAGTCGGCTTATGTTCGTGTATGCGCGATCCGGGCATGCGTCCAGTCTGTCCTGCGTAGTTACAAGGACAGTTTTGACAAGAAACGCGATACACCACAGCAGATTGCTCTTCGGGCTTTTATCTGTTTCTAATTTTCATAACCCTATTGCGCATGGTGGGTTTGGGGCGGTGTGCAATTCCGACATCAAGCTCCGCAGCAATGCGCTCGGTTTACTTCTGAATCGCCCTTGATGTATGGCAGAGAATGCCATATCGTCGGTGGTGTTGATGTTTGAGTCATCTGAGGCAACCGCGTAGGCAGCGACTTATGAATTCCCTCGGATGCGACGAGGCGACGCATTATCACAAGTGACCGCTCACACCTACGAAATGGGTCACGAGTTTAACTTCGCAGCCACCAAAATATTCGCCCACGCGGGAAACAAAACAGGCCTGGTTGAAGCCTGGGCATCGGATGAGAACTCAGTAAATTGATTTATCGATCTGGCGCCAGCGTACAGGGCCCTTCGCAGTCAACTCGAGTCTTGCGCCGTCGGTCGATGATTGGGTCTACATGCCTTATAACCGTCGCCTGTTCTGCCCCTGATACTATCTCTGACGATGGACTCCTGCACGAGTCCGGAAGCTCAGGACAATAAACAAAGTTTTTCGGTGCTCGACCCACCTTTGCCTTTAAAGTTCTGCTTCTGGCCTTCTGGTTAGAGCTTAAAGGCGCCGCCCTGATAAAGGAAGTTATGGAGCAGGATCTAAATACACGTCCAAACTGTTTTTTTTTTCAAATGAACACACAACCGACTTTATATGTCGAGACATAAAACATCATCAGGTCAAAGGAGAGGTATTTGCAACACTACGAAACCCAGGAATTACAACCACCAATATAACTAACTCTTTCTTACGTGCAAAAAGAAAATGATCTTCTGAATAGTCATCTAAAAACACTAGATACAAGCGGCATACTAACCGGCAACTGCCTTATGCACACATCTTCTACACCCTGGGGGTGGAAGCGGACACTTCGGTGGAAAACGTGCTGTCTACAAAATCCCATGTATCATTTGCAATGACGCCTATTGTGGCCAAACTGGGAAATATGCCCCAAACCGTTTACAAGAACATTAGTTGGTGGTGATAAGACAATACCACTTATCTCAGCCGGCCGTGCAAATGTGGATACTGGGGAACCATCCTCGAAAATACGCTCAATTAGTCAATTAGTTTGCTTAACAAAGTAGCTTAATATCCATTGAATATATCACAAAACGTCCACATACTGCTTTGGAGTACGTTTATTCGTGTATTAATAGGAGCCTGATGTCCAGTGGCACGGGCTGCGAGTGTTTATTCACTATGGAACTTTTGTTCAAAAGAATACGTATGATCCATTAATACCTTTCCTATGTGGACCACTAGCGTAATGTGCATCCACATATTGGCGTTTCTGGTCCAGATAGTAGTTATGAATATGATGGAATTAATGAAGCTAGAATAAACCCGATAAAGTGCTGATTAATCTCTCTACACCTCCGTCATTATCGAACTGATTATATATTTGTATATGCTATCAGGGCAAACAATGGTCACCTCGCATTTTCGGGACTTTTCTGCGATAACTGAATCGGTGGAGCTCCCGTTGCGGTCACTTTGGGTGGGATTAAGTCCTGTAGATAACGTTCTCTGTGTACACTTCTCCTCCTGTATGAAATAAAACATCGTGGATTACATGAGATTTCATAACAATTTATGCATATATATATACATAAATTCTGGGAGAGTATTTATTTTGTACATCGACTAACCTCGGTCTGGTGAGGACTAGTACACACCGCGTCAGTCGCCTGTGAACAGTGTCCACTGACCTTTAATGTCGGAGTCAACTCCTTGCAAGCTTGAGTGACTGAGGAAGACGACGGCGAATGTAACTGCTTGGAGCGTCTTGTCGCTTGGTCGGCAACATGAGTGTTCACGGGACAGAGTGGACATCTTACCAATTTTTCAACAGAATTCGCGGGTCGCAGTCAGGGGTTAAGGCAAAAGTTGTAACCTGTTAGTTGTTATGTCCGCTAGGGGAACATGCATTTGACCTTAAATTTGAATAAAAAGGAGGTTTGCGCAATCGCAAAATGAAGTCGCTGTTCAAGCGTGTGATCTACGATGTTGAGAGCAAGTGTCAAGTGACAGGTGTGATGGCTATAACATGTGTTGCCGCGGTGGTACAGTTATGCACTTTAGGAGGCAGTTGTAGCCGCCAAACAGTGACTTTGTATGTGATTCACCAAACACATTCTCCGAATATTAGTGGTTATAGTAATAGTCGTGGTAGTAGCGGAACTAACAGCAAAGATTTGCACAATTCCGACATCACAGCTGCTTAGTAAAAGCCCTAACACCTGTATCGTCCACTCGTGTCGCCAACTAACGCGGCAGCGTGAGATTCGCCTCACAGGCAGACCCCCGGAGTTTTCTAGGGAACCTCTTTGTTTTTGCTCTTTTATTGACTGTTGCCTTTTTACTTTCCACGGCCAGCCAGAACTCTCCAAACCCCGTCTAATGAAACACTTTCATATTTGTCAGACTACTACGGTATTGATTTCAGTGGTCAATTTTATTTGTATTAACTTCATTACTGCTAAATATGATGCATACAAAGGCAGCAAATGCGTTGCTTGCTGTTATTTCGCAAATCATTCACCTTTTTAATGCTTTTATTTCACTATCGGTCTTATGCACTTGGCTTATTAAAAGCGCCTTTTAATATTTAGAACGTAACTACATATCGCTTGAATGAAGTTTACAAGGGCTGCTACCATTTACACCGAATAGAGTGATTTGATTTAAGCTTGAATTCAGGCAAAACTTTGGAGCAAATACTGTGGGCCATAAATATTCAGGATCGGTTTGGAATATTCTTTGAACATCTTAGCTGAAGTCTATCAGCGAATGTGGGAAAATCGCTATATAATAGCAACCTGTTAACAGACAGTCCGTTATATGCATATGTTCAGTGTTTACCAAGCAATGGTATTCAGCCCTAAGGCTTGTGAGCGTCTGTTATGTTATAATCAGTAAAACATGGCCCTCACAGCCTGTTATGCGCTGGCAGTTCTCCGGCACCTGGTTCTCGGGCGGTAGATGCACGTGCATGGCTGTGCAGCCGTCCACGTCTTTTCTTCTGTTGTTGTTGGTAAAAATCCTGGTAAAATATTTTTTTGTAGACCAGGGGACGTGGGATGAAACGCCAAGTTACGGGTCCGGTCATGTGCCAGCCACCTGCGCCCATCTCCACCTCCAGTCTTCTTGACTCTGTCTTGACTACGGACCAAGGTGGGGGGAGGGTGAGAGAGTGCGGTAGATGCCGCGCAAGTTTGCCATCACAATAAACTAATTCGTGGGCAAGTCGCCGTGCCTGCTATCACAGACTGCTTTGGAGCACACGGTAGACATCGTCGGATGCGACGGTCGAACAATCATAACTGGGGTGCCAACTTCATATCATGAATTTACGAGTAATTGGATCGGATCGATTTGGTAAGCATTTTCTTTGCAGCACTGTCTTGACCGCTACTGCCGCTTACGTTCCAGCAAGGAAAATCGCGTCTCTTGGTCGGCGTAGTTGTCAGAAAAAGGCTTGTTAACCTCATGGTCGCTGAATCGCACATTACGTGGAAGAAGCCAGGCGAATGATGCGTCGCGTATAACAAATGCTTTAGCAGCCTGGAACGGAATAAGCAGTCAGCTGATTGATTTCTTGTAATTCCCCGATAACTAAACTTTACATAGACTCGAGACATTTTACAAAAAACTGCTTTCCTTATTGGCAGCAACCATTTCAATACATCTACTAGGGAAGTATCGAACTCACTTAATCAGAAAAATACACACGCCGTAGGACGGCCCTGACAGCTTAGTCCGCAGAACGGACTCCATATGACCGAGAGAGGTTTAGCGGTTTCAATCCGGTCTGGGGCGTGTTTTCTTCAGGTTTTGTCGGTCTGATACCACTACTTGTTGAAGTTACGTTAAGCATCTTTCAAAGCACGCAAGTAGGATTACACCCAGTCTTGTGCTTGAACGCCAGAATTCATCAAATATCACATTCAGAATGGCTGTATTTGTTAGTGGGTTGGAATGGGCATCTCAACGATTTTCATGCGGCATATAGTGCGTGATCTATCTAATGATATTATGACAACAACTTAGGTGACAATTTTCAGACATCCTAAACGTTGCGAATTTTGCTCAGTCGCTCAGCTCCTTTAAAGAAAAGGTCCTGTTCTTGTGCCAAAAATGTGTCTGAGCACATTTATCAGACAAATTATTTTTAATTTTGAGCGAAGATAGTTGTTGCGATATATTGGGACAATGCTTCATGCCATATCCTGTACTTCGGTTGCGCATTTAAGTATGTCTTTCTTCGAGAGTTAGGTTATTTACTCTCGAAGGTTTAGCCTCACAGAGATTGGCCCACTTGTTAACTGATTTTTGTCTGAAGCTAACCGTGGGTATCAGTGCGCGAGCTTAGAGGTTGTTTTTTAGAGAACCAGTCGTTTTATCGATTTTCCAGTCAGCTCAGCAGATCTGTATGATTTCGGGCCCTGAGGTGCTGTAATAACGCATACAGCGATCCTTCGTTTAAGTGGGAAAAGATTATTTTGGCATTTGGAAATGATTATGAGTTCACATGAAAATGACTATTACCGAATAAGCATTTTCAGTTTCGAATATATAAAACGTTTTTTTTTTCGTGCGGAATAGCTACTGCATATATATGACTTAGAAATAGGGCAATAAAACATTAAAAGTTTTATAAAAATATGAAAGCTTATGGAGCAGTTCGTCTATGTTTTCATGATTGTACAAGGAAGTCTAAGAGTAAAAATAACGAAATTTGGCGCAGTATAAAGAGGAAGGCATGTTCTTACGTTTGCAATGACAGAATGTCAGCGTTTTTCTTAACAACGGGAAAGAAGCGGCTAAAAGTGTTAATTTTGTCTCGGTTTCGCCGTGTAAAGATATAAAATGCACGATCATCCGTCAACGGAAGGCAGTATTAAATCCGTCCTTAACAGGACAATCTATTAGATGGAGTCTTCTAATTAATCGAAGGCTTTTTGACTTTTGTTGTGAGCGATCATTAGATTGGACGATAATTTTTCATATTTGGGCGAGTCTTAACGCGTACCCCGAACGACCAGCTTCATGAAAACGAACGCCAAAACACTCACTATTACGCCAAATTCCCTCAAGAATTATCCTATTTTAAAGACCTTAGTAACCTCATAGTGCAATGTATTGAAAACATTTAAAAACCTGAAGTATTCAGCGATATTTCGTGGCCAACCGGAATCTCGACATAATGAAGAACACAAAAAAAGTGAAAATTCGTCTAAGGAGGAAAACGTTATCTCTATATACACGAAGTTGAATGCCTAAAATGACACCTGTCAGTATTATTTAAATTTAGTTATCACTGGCTGGCTTGAAAATATGCGGTCCTATGAAAACTTATTTTTGTAACGTTCTTATTGACAAAATCAAGCAAAATCCTGTTTTTCGTGGTAGGCTGCATCTCGATCAATGCAAAAGCAGAATAAACACAAAGAGTGCATGGGAAACCGCTTTGGAATCTATGCTCAGGAAACAGACAGTTTTTAAACCGCTACTTTTGATGTTGCACTTATTTTCAAAAAGTACAGTGCGTGACCGATCTCATGAAGTGTTGGCCAAAATTCTGGAATGCGTTTCCGATTAGGGAGGATTACTTAAATGGCGTTTTTATACTGATCATCATGCAGCATAAATCTATGACATTTGGACTCGCCAGGATGTCGGC